GAGGGTGTTGGGGTGAAGACACTAAAGGAGGTTATTTACATCAGTTAGGTCCTTCAGATGTAATTGCTCCCTTTGTGGATTTGCTTGTGTGCACCTGTAGACTCATGCCCACAGAGGTCAGAGGTCAAGCTTGAGGCTCTTACTCCATCACAGGCCACCTTGTGTTTTGAGACAGGTAACTTAGCTAGTGAGCTCCAGGGATTCTCCTGTCTCTGCCTCCCCAGTGTTGGGGTCACACCTAAGCTACCACACCTGTTTTTGTTATTGTTGCTTTATGTGGGTTCTGGGGTCGTCATGTCTGCACAGCCAGGCCTTTACCAGCAGAGCCAGTGGTTCCCTCTTCCTTCCCGGTTATCCCCGGACCACGAGGCCAGGCCGAGGCGGTAGGGGTGTTGGGCGTGGTACCGCCTCTCCTTGCCAGCCCTCTCTTCGCCCGTGTGGGTGGCACAGGTGGCTCAGCAGAGACTGAGTGTCACAGAAAAGAAGGTTCAGTTTTGTTAGTGAGGGCGTCTTGTCTTTCGGGAGGGAGAGACCGTTCATCCTGGAAACTGTGATCAATAAGATGATTTAGTTTGAATCATTTCAGAAATAGTAAAGCATCTGTTGAAAGATATGTCTTCCAGTAACTTCTCGATGAAGGGTGAGCCCAAGTTCACTCAGAGAGCACACCTCTTCTGTGCAGATTTCCTGTGGGACTCTCTTCCTTTTGAGGTGAGTTTAATCCTTCTGCCAGCTTCTGGCTCTGGAGGCAGTGCTGTGAGCCCACTAACGAGAGGCAACCAGGTGGGAAGCTGCACACGTCAGCTGATGGACCCTGTAGTATTCAATAAAGGGCCAGTGCCATTCTTCCCCCAGAAGAGTCTCACAGCCATCATTACATTCCTCCACTTCCAGAGTCATAGAAGAGTCATCAGAAGACGGTGATGGACTGGTGGGCAGCAAGGCATTCTGGGAAATGTAGTTTCCCACCTTCTAACCTAAGGCATGGAGTTGTACTATGGGGGGGGCTGGAATGATGATGAAACCAGTACACAACAGGCGAGCTGGAACCCTGTGCTGGTAAAATATCCATCAACAAAAACCACATGGTCACTGCCATGACTTTTTTCAAAAACAATTTACATTTATTTATTTATTTATTTGCATGCATGAATGCATATGTGTGCACACACATTCGATGCACAGAGGTCAGAGAACACTTTACGGGAGCTGATTCTCTCCTTCTGGCTTACGGGCCCCTGGGGATTCGTTAAGAGGACCAGGCTGGCCAAGCATCTTTACTCACTGGGTCATCTCTCCAGCCCTGTAGTTGTCTTTCTGAGACAGGAGCTCCTATAGCCCAGGCTTGCCGGGAACTCAGCATGTCAAGGAGGATGACCTTTGAACTCTTGTATCTTAACTTTCACTTCTCAAGTGCTATCACTGTGGGCATTGGCCATGATGCCCAATTCAGAAAATATTTATGTACAAGAAACAAAGAAAAGAAATCCCAACACTTGAGAGCTCTTAAAGTTAATGACAGAACCCCTAAACTTAGGGCAGAAAGCCTAACTAACCTCCTTATCACTAACACCTTCTTGCCTTACCTTGCGTTACATAGGTTTCTCCCCGAGGTTGAAATTTGGAAAAGTTGTGTTTTGTCAGAGAGGCTGGGGCCATAATTTTTTTCATACTTAAAAATTTTTCATTTTAGCTTTTGAGAATTTCATAAGTGAGTACTGTGTTTACATTGTTTACACTCCTCTCCATTCTTCTCCCTCCAGCTCCTTTCCTGCCCCACCCACTTCTTGTCAGCGTCCTGACCTTTTCGTTAATGGTGTGTGTGTGTGTGTGTGTGTGTGTGTGTGTGTGTGTGTGACTACAACCTGCTAAGTTCATCTAGTGTTGCTTGCATTTGTATGTGTTCCTGGAGAAGATGATTCTACTTGCCTTAGCAGCCATTGCTTGCCTGGAGCTCTTCATGTGTGGATGGAGCCTTGTGAAGGATTTTCCCCGGCCACAGTGGGATCTCAGCTGGTGTTGCCATTGTGTGGGTCTTGTTCATGTGACCATGTGTGCAGCTCCCTGTCATGTGTAGAGGATGTTATCTTGGAGCATGTCCCGTCCATCTGGTCCCTGCCCTGGAAGTGCTGGGATTGCAAATGCTTATCACCACATATGACTTGTCACATGGATTCTGGGGTCTAACTCAGGTCGTCACACTTGTGCAGTGAGCACTTTTATCCACCACATTCTCGCTGGCCCTGAGTGTGGTTCTTTAGTAAACAGGACAGAGTGAAGCCTGGTAGTTAACTCAGGATAGAAGGCGTGTGGGACTCGCAGATCGGTCACTTTTCTTGTTGCTCTGACTAAAGAAAGGCTACTTAAGGAAGATTATTTCATACGTTTGAGGGCCCAGTTCATCATGGTGACAGGCATGTGAGCTGGCAGGTCACATGACATTTGTGGTAGGCAGAAGGGAGATGAAAGGTGCTCAGCTCATTCTCTCCCAGTTCTCACTTCAGTTCAGCCTGGGAACCCAGCCAAGTGGAATGGTCCCGTTCATGTTTTAGAGTGGGTCAATCTTTATGGGAGAAGCCTCACAGGCAGAGGCAGAGGTGTGGCTCCCAGGTGATTCCGAGTCCAGTCAAGTTGACATTGAGGATTGACTATCTCCACAAATGACATGTCAGAATGTGGTGTGCTAACACAGGTCTGAACTTTGGATGTGTGTGTGGTCTTATTTGGGAACTCAGTCCTGGGGAGCACTCTCACAGTTAGATTTCCATTGCTGTGATGAAATTTCTACTTGATGCAATTTGGGGAGGAAAGGGTTTATTTCAGCTTACACTCCACCACCGAGGGAAGTCAGGACAGGAACATGGGGGCAGGAACCGACGCAGAGGCCATGGAGGAGTGTTGCTTTCTGGCTTGCTCATCTTGGCTTGCTCATCCTGCTTTCTTAGAGAACCCAGTACCACCAGCCCGGGGTGGCTCCCTCCACAATGAACTGGGTCCTCTTACATAAATCACTCATTAAGGAAATGCCCTGCCAGCCTGCCTATAACCTGATCTTATGGAGGCTTCCTCTCAACAGAGGCTCCCTCCTCTCCATTGACTCTAGCTTTGTCAAGTTTACAAGACCCTGACCAGCACACAAATGTTTTATTTTAATAACAGGCATGAGATTGCTTCTTACATTTTGAGTGAGATTTAAAAATTTCCCCTTTATTTCCCTCAAGTGGGGTGCTGAATCTTCCTGGAGAGATAAGGAGGCTGTTCGCCTTAGCAGGCATGAGAAGGCCCCTTTTCCTACCCACATAAGCTGGGTAAGAAGTTTTGACCATCGTGTGGTGATGAGTTGTTCACTGACCATGCTGCATGTTGTGGGCAGCCAGTCTCTCTGTGCTCAGCCTCGCTGTTGAGGCCGTCATTGGAGCTCCTCAGGCTGAATTTCCTCATGTCCTTTCACCTGCCCTGTGGATGCCTCCCAGAGCAGGTGTTCTGCTTCCAGGAGCTGCTTCAAGAGAAAGGGTGGATACATATGATAGTTATTCTTTTATTGCAAGTTGGTGTGAAATTAGTTCATTTCTTTATCCAGATATCATGCTGACTATAAGTACAGTAAGAGTTAGTACAGCTGACCCTATGCCAATGCGCTAAATGTCTAATTACATCTTTCTTATTAGTGAGAACGTATCTTGGCATCCGTAGGGTATGAATGAAAATGGCCCTCATGAGTTTGTGGAACTGTTTGGGGAGGATGAGGAAGTGCGGTCTTGCTGGAGGAAGTGTGTCATTGGGCACTGACTTTGAGGTTTCATAAGCCCTCACCATTAGCGCTCTCTCCCTGTGCTTGTGCATCCAGATGGGAGCTCTCAGCTGCTGCTCCAGCGCCACTGTTGCTCTCTGTCACGTCATGGTCATGGACACTGACCTCTGAAACTGTAGGCCCCACATAAACTCTGTCATCTACGAGTTTCCTCCATCACGGTGCTTTATTACAGCAAGAGAAGGTAACTTCCGCAGCATCGGAGCGCACCCATCATTGTCATGTGATCTTGGATACAGGAGTGTAACCCTAGTAGTCCATTCACCTTTTACAAAGAGGGCTGACAGCACAGAGTCCGCCCTGGAGGAGCAGTGTCCATGAAGACTCTGAGTTAGAAGGAAAGGTACACCTGCAGAATTGTGGGGAGACCAGGCTGGAGGGGACAGTTTAAGATGGGAGGTAATGCTGTCTGAGAGAATCTGGACTCCAATGACCTGACTCCAGGTCACACACATGGTACAGTCCCTCTGGTGACGCCTTCTCTCCAGGTCACACACA